CCTCAGAAACCCTATACTGGGTTGCTATGAGTTGGGAGTGAATCAACAACACTTAATGACAACATATCCTTCATATAAATCTAAACACATTTCTGAGTTCGGAGCTTGTCACTAAAACCTTAGTGATGGCTGTTTGGATTTTGGAATGAATCTATATTGACTTCGAAATACATACATTTAACTTTTTTTCTCTTACTTTCTCTCTCTATAATATGTATTACGCACATACGTATACACATTTATATGTACATTTTTGTTGTTTGTCATCATGTCAGTTTTGACTCACAATGGGCTGCTAGATAAAAGATTGGTGGTTTCAACCCACCAGCAACTCTATGAGAGAAAGGATTGCTGCTGTTGTTGTTAGGGGCTGTTGAGTCAGTACTGAGTCATAGTGACCTTATGCACAACGGAAATAAATACCACCCGGTCCAGTGCTGGCCTCACAATCATTGCTACACCTCAGCCCATTGCACTGTTGTTATGCCAATCCATCTCATTGGACTCTTCCTCTTTTTCTCTGACCTTCCACTTTAGCAAGCATGATGGCCTGCCCTAGGGACTGGTCCTTCCTGTTAATAGGTTCAAAATTTGAGAGACAAAGTCTGGCCATCCTAGCTTCTAAGGAACATTCTGGCTGTACTTCTTCCAACACATTTTGGTGGCTTTTTGGTGGTCCATGGTACTTTTAATATTCTCCTCCAACACCAAACCTTAAATGCATCAATTCTATTACAGTCTTCTCTATTCATAGTCCTACTTTCACATGAGTATGAGGCTATTGAAAGTATCCTGGCTTGGGTCAAGCACACCTTAGTACTCTGTCATTTTTGCTCTTGAACACTTTAAAAAGGTCTTGTACAGCAGATTTGCCTAATGCAATACGTATTTTGATTTCTTGACTGCTGCTTTCATAAGTGTTGATGATTGATCTGAGCAAAATGAATTTGTTGACAACTTCAATTGTTTCTCCATTTATTTGTTGTTGTTAGGTGCCATTGAGTTGGCACCGACTCATGGTGACCCTATGCACAGCAGAACGAAACACTGCCCAGTCCTGGGTCAATCTCACAATTGTTGTCACACTTGAGCCTATTGATGCTGCCACTTTGCCAATCCATCTCGCTGGGGGTCTTATCCTTTTTCTCTGGCCCTCCACCTTGCTGAACATGATATCCTTCTCCAGTGACTGGTCCCTCCTGATAATATGTCCAAAGTA